TCTCTTAAAATCCTGTTTAAGTCTTAAAAAATCTGACCTATATTTCCTTGTTTTGACCATATGTGAGCAGACGTTGTTTAGTCCTTTTTCTCTATATCACTTTATATCTAATTAGCACTTGAACCATTCCAGTTGTTAACTGTCATCACCATTCCAGTATTTTCTGCAATTCTGCAGCTGTAGAATTTGTCCATACAAAGTCTTTGAATGATGAAAGAAAAAGGAGAAGGAAATTCAGGGAATATTTTCTCCCTCCTAATAGTTAATTATAACTACAAATCTGAAATTTGCAAGCTTTCTTCTGTCCAAGCCATCAAACACCAGCACCACAAAATATTTAACAAGATTTGGATCCTGAATAGATTTATTTCTAGACTTAACTTTAAGCAAATAATTACTTGCATTCTTAAATCCAGGGTTAGTTTTGTGTGGAAAGAGGTGTCAGAATGCCAATACATATGGCCAGGGACATTTTAGCTGATTGAGAAATACATGCCTTTTTTTTCTTTTTTTTTTTTTTTTTCCTGGAAACAGATATGCCCATTCTAGAACATTCTGTTCCCAAATTAACCCTGTTTAAATTTAAATACTGGAAAAATTTCTCCCAGAAACGGGGTCTTTATCTTCCTTCTTTGCATCAGAAGTTATTCCAAACCTCTGGCCAGCAATTTTACGTGTTCTGTATTGATTTTCCTTTGCTGGCACCTTCCAGCAAGGAAGCAAAGCCCAGAGAAGGCTAGCTGAGCTCAAGGGTATTTGCAGCATTTATTGCAATAGACACCCCCCTCAACGGGAACCCACATGGGAATGTTTAATCTGGCCAGTCAGAACAGGCCAGTTAAACATCAGCTGGAAAAAGCACTTGACAATATCCCGTGGAGAAGCAGCTAAGCACTGACAGGGGCTGATGAGCAAATAGATTTTTCCCAACTCTGTTTCCTGTGACTTGCTCTTCAGAACTGTTTAGTGGATTACAATATGGAACTCATAAATATTAATTTTTATTTTTTTGTTTATACCATCACACTGCTTTGAAAGCCATTTTAAAGATAAATTAAATGAGATTCCTCTGAAGAGGTCACTGCTCATCAAATACAAACTGAAGCTACGGGAGATGAAAACACCTGGGACGAAGGACTAAGTGGCTATGTGACAGTCAGAAGCCATGAAGAGCTCCTGAAACTTGAAGATGAACAGGAGCCCCTCTGACCTGCAGTTAGAATTTAACATGAATTTTAGTGGACTGTCAAGGCTAGAAACAGGACCACAAAGGTCATCAAGGGGAAGTCAGTGTGACAAGAAGCTGTCTATATGACAGGGAGCTTGGTCAAGGAGTTGGAAACTTCTGTCCTCCTGTCTGTCCTCCTAACACCAACAAAGTGAACAGAGTTGCAAGAGAATGACTGCTTGGTAAATTAAACCATGGGTTAATTCTTCAAGCCCTTCTCCAATTTTAGAGCAATGCAGCTCCAATGGTTCTAACTAAATTACCTGTGATCTTCATGGGGCATCTTAGCCCCATGAGCCTCATGAGATCAGAATCAAGCTCTCCCTTTTTCTGAACTAAAAAGAAAAAAAAAAAAAAAAAGTGTTGACTTCATAACATATTATAAAGATGCACAATCTGCTGGGGTAAGGAGCACAATGACATGCTGACTAAAGCATAGGTTGGCATCACTTTCATTGACACACTGTCAACGATGGGTTCACGTTACACCTGAGCACAAATGTTACTATGCAGAACAACAGTGTAATATCAAAAGCTAGATCACATTACTCACCCAGACTGAAACAACAGATTTATTGACAGAGAGTAAGCTGGCTATGGCAGTGCTGCTATTACCCCTAATCAGTACAACTACGTTCATGAATCAGAAAGATTTCTGTAACTGTTTTTCAATAACTGAGTTTTTCAGTGAATTCTCAGTTCGTAGCAACAGCATGGTTTTATACTGTGAGTTGGCAGCAACATTAACACGATTTTAAGGAACAAACAAAATGGCCCCAGCATCTACAAACCAGCAATCAGCAGCCTCCCGTGTATTGGAAAAATATCCAGGAGGGTGTTACTGTCACTGATCCAGGACAGGGCAAAAAAACGCATGCTTAGATATTTCTGTAATGCATGTTCATCTTCCAAACCAGCATTTAGGGCTCTGGTATTAAAAATGACTGAATAAAGGACGGAGTTATACTATTTTTATTTTAATTTTCCCCTCATTTAAAAAAAGGAAAAACCTCTTGAAATGCCTACATCTACAAAAATCCTGATTTCTTTTTCTTCTCTGCTTAGGAGAAGTGTTTCTTCAAACAAACAAAAAACAAACCAAAGAACCCATAATTTTTTGTTCATTTTTCAATTCACTGTAATTTGAAATATAAACATAAATTAATGTTTAAATAAAATTAAAATTAAATATAAAAACCCCAAAACATCACAAAAGTGAGACTGCTCCTAGCAATATTTAAAATATAACTTTGCATACAAAGCCTTTGTGCGTGTCTCTGTAAGCAAACCTGGGCTGGCCACTCCACAAAATCAAATCAAAAGTGCAAGGCGAAATGCAAGTAACACATTTAAAATAAGCATCAAAAGAATATGATCACAGCAAAGTCACATACATTATAGCTCAAACAGTAGTCAGAGGGTGAAGGGAGGAACTGTAGTTTGAGGATCAATGGCCTGAATTTTGCAGGAGGTCTGATGAGATGATCATGATGGCCCAAATAGGTTTAACTAGCTTTCTAGTGCATTTGAATTATTATATCCTTTTATTACAAGATCAGATATTCTTTTATCTAAGAATACCTACCACTTTCAGTGCTCAGGATCGACAGCACTGAGCTAAAGAACAAGTTGACTTTTCCCTTTTTGTCTTCACTAGTTAGCTTGTGACTTCTGCATTATACTCTGTATGTAAGCTTCCAGTCCTTCACTGGGAGGTTTCCTGAAGGCATTTCCATCGCACTTTCACCTGAACAGACAGGGGTCTAAAAACACTATTCAGCAGTCACCACCTGCTTCAAGTCGATGAGGTGGGTATTCTATGAACAAATAGCAGGTGACTGTTTAATTTAAAGATTGTCCTAAAACACATGTGCAGAGGGGGCAAATGATCAGGCTAGTCTCCTTCTTTCACTTATCCACTCTCAGGTGTTTGGCTCGTAACTTTAATACTGTTTTTTAAAGTATTAGAGAGAGTCAGGGAGACCGATATCCCCACAAACACATACACATCCTATCTGACTGCACTTAAGTTTTATTAAGTGCCGGTTTTCACTTTTTTCCTCAATGATATTCATTTCAAGAGTTCTTCCAGGGAAAGTAGGTGACATGTAACCTCCCTGACGTACCACATATTTGTTCACACCTTTATAGAAGAGCTCTTCTGCTTCTGAACATAGCTACATGTTGTCCCTTATCCATGCATACTAGATAGGTGTAAATGAAAGAGAAACATGCAAATAGTTTTTGGAAGAGACCAGCACCAGATTCAGTTCCTGTAGGTTTATCTGTGAAAAGTTTGCTCTGTTGGAGTTGTTTTTCAGATTACATTGACCCCAAGTCATTTGGTGAGAAAGAAGGCACATCTCTTGTAGCACGAAACAAACCAACCAACCTTATTTCTTGCGAATAAATAGAGGGAAAAACTGAAGCTGTAATGATCAGTCTAAGGAAGTAGAAATGTGGCCTCTTCATTACAAAAATAATTGCAGTTTCCCAGTAACTCTAGTAGAGTTTGCAGTGGCCTCCTCCCTTACTTTCTCACAGCAGATGCCTACAAAACTGGATTAATGGATCCTCTCTTCAAGCCAGGTGGTAATGAAATGATGATACAATATTTCCAGCTCTTAGCACAACCTCTAACTTGTAGAATGCTGAGGTGTGCCCATAAAACACAGACAAAAGTAGGTGGGGCTACTGCTTAATAATAGTCATAATAATAAGATGTTAATGATACTGAAAACTGAGTGGTATTTACCACGAAACTCACAGAGAGAAAAAGTCCTTCGGCTATTTTCTTTTCCAATTTCATCAGAGGTTAGCTAGTTTCTTTTTTTACTCCTGACCAACATAACACTATTCTGCTTTCTGCACAGACTTAGATGCTTGTGTGTGCTGTATGTGGGACCATTTTGCGGTAAGGTGTAATTTATCTTTTAAATTTTGCTGCGATGACTCTCAGCCCTCAGGAAGGTCTGAGATAGATCGTCATTTGTATTAAGATTCCACAGATGTCTTGCAGCAGGTATAAATGACATTTATGTTCATAGCAAAGTACCTTTCTGCTGTTGAAGTCCTCATGTTAGCAGGAACCAGGCATGTCACCCTGGCTGTCATAGATGCATGCTGAGTCTGGCATTCCTCTACCTCTCAAGGGTGGGTGTCTTTCTGGAGCAATTCACACCTTGGCTTGAATAACAACGGGAAGCCATTTCTTGAGACTTCAGTGAATGTGCACAGTTATGGGCCTTGTATTTTTTTTTGCTTGGTCTTCATTCACCAAAATTACAGCAGCTCAGGCCCATTGTCAAGTGGTCAGTGCTGAGAGGCTTTGTGAAGCAAGATTTGCAAACATATGGTGAAATTCTCCAAATTTTTCGTACACCTTAAATTTTACTGCAACTGCTGTCAATATTTGTTTAAGCGTTTTATGGAAGAAATATCTTGCTAAAAATCTAGCAATAAAACTAGGCAATCACTCCAATTACAGTCCTTCAGGTTAAAAAAAAGGCAGATTATAAATATACTTTTTATCTCCCCCTGACAAAAATGGCTGCAAAACCAAGACAGGCTTATAGATGACACTTGTGCCTGAAGCACAGGTAGGAGAGGGATGATATTTTACTTGTCTGTAGCAGTAGTTTTCACTCCAAAGTGTTAGGTACATATACTACTCTCAGTGCAAATTCTGAACATCTTCTCCTAGGATTAAATTGGCCTTCTGTACAAACAAAGATTGAGGAGCCTGAGGAAGGAGCTGAGCCTTGGGCACTGAATTCACTTCAGTCTGCTGTGATTTGGTGAAAAACGTGAAATGGAAGTTCTGTCGCTGTCTTTGTTCTGCTGTTGGACAAATGCCATTGAACGCCACAAGAACAGTTTCTGTATCAAACTGCAGTTGCTGTACTCCTCCGGGATCTGTAGTGCAAGACATACCACTCTATTGTAGAAAAGTCTGATTTATCTGGTTCCAGTATACTCCCGAAGATGCAATAAGTGTACCTAGAATAGGATAGGTTAAGCTGAAACTAAATTCCTGCTCTCTTCAAAAGTAGTTGTCGCACAAAACACAGTTTTGCTGACTCCATCATCACTGCCATATCTTCAAGCGTAAATGAAGGGTAATGCAGCTGTTCATCTCACAAACCGTTGTGTATTTTGACAGTGTGGTTTTCCCCTCTTGCTTCCCTCTTTGCTTGGCTCAAACAATGAGTCTGTCCGCTGATGTGCAGAAGAAAAACACAGTGTTCAGATGCCAGAAACTATCTGCTGCCTTTTATCAGCTATTTTGCATCCCTCCCTTCTTGCCACCCGCTAACAGTATCAGTAACAATATGTCCAAAAAATTAACATTTTAGGTGTGGAGATTTCAGAACTGTTCAAACCCTGTCCTATGTAGACCCCTTTGCAGAGGCCTCTTTCACCCTCGGACAAGACAGCTCCTCGTCCCAGGTCCAAACACGTGAAGTGAGCTGTAGATGCCATCTCTCTAGCTCTGGGGACCAGGCTCTCTGTGGTTTGCCTTCTGTAAAAACACCTCAGCTTCTTGTAGAATAGGACTGGTTTTCTCTTTTTTTGTGTGTGTGCATGCAACAGCTGGTTATGCAATCATTTCGGGGAGGGGGCTTGGCAAGGCAGACTCCAACTTGAAATCACACTCATCATTCTAGAAAATCACCACTGGTGTTTGTGATATGAGCTCTCATCCAACAATGCCGTGGTGTGGAGGAGCCTCAAAAATATGCCGGAATATCACGTAAACGTCCCTCTCTTTGTGTACACAAACACGTGCTCCTCACGACAGGATTTGCTTACGCCAGTCAAAGAAAAACAGTGTAGGGGGGTATATGTTACATGTATTATTCTGTCTGTCACATCACCTTCACTGCCTCGTTATTTATTTATTTATGTTAAAGCCAACCTGTATGCCATCTCAGGCATGGCAAGTGTTTATATCTCAAGAATCACGCCCACATTTTACGTACCGGGAGCTCAGCTCAGCCTGGGGCTTCTTGTGATTCCCATTACAGTCAACAGGAGCTTCACATGTCCACCCGGGAGGGAGCGTCCCTCAGCCTCCTGGTGCCGTGTCCACTTGCGAGCGGAAAATGAATATTTTATAGCAGAGAAAAATAACTGGAAGCCGCCCTGCTACACCGTAGTAGCCGGTGCCGTGTGTGATGTATAGCATGCTGCCTAGCAATGTTGCTAAGCAACACAGCACCATCCAAGAAAATCCTGCATTAGCTCGTAGTGGCTGGTGGGGTGGGTTAGACGTGACACTTTGCACACAGAGCTATGCAGAGAGAGGTGTGCTTTGCTCAAGACTATTACAGCCGTCTCCGATTGCTAATACGTCTCCCCTATTATTCTCCCTGCACTGATGAACTACATCACAATGCACCGTGCACCGCAATAATTTTCCGCTGAAAAAAAATACCTCCCCCCACCCCACCCCCCACGCTTCCTGTTTCTTAATGCTCTTCAAACCTGATTTAGAGAGTAGCGAGTAGTGGAATTTTACAGCTACATCCCATGATGCTCTCGCTCTCGCTCTCAATCCCATGGCCTGGCTCATACCTCAAACTAACCGTAAAGTCAGATCACAATGATGTGAGTCACTATTATAACTAAAGATAGATCTTGTCAAAAGCAGTCATGAGCCCTGGATGCTAGAGGTTGTTTATTCAGCGTTGTGTTTTGGGGTGGGTTTTTTTCCCTCTCTCTCCTGACTCCCTAACTTTTGACATTGAGAGGTCTATCCCATGTTAATGAGTACTTGGGTGAGCAGACAGGTATGGCACAGGCTTTTGGTGATCTGTAGGAAACCGTAGATGGGCTGCACAGCAGCCTAGCTGCAGGTGTGAGTTTAGCCCCACATGGGTCCCAGGGCAGAGCTTCACAGTGGCACGGCCTGGGGACTCCCAAACACCACGTGGGCACAGGGCAGGACAGCCACAGAAAGGAGGGAGAAAACATTTTTAAGAGAGGTTTCTTCTAAGACTAACAAACTCCTTTAAAAAAAAAAAAATATTTACATACCAGCCGTTTTCAAGTGCGAGCATTCATATCCACACAGAACAAAGCAGCACTGGTGCAGGAGACAAAGAGAAGCAAGCCAGACACCAACTGAGACAAGAGGGGCTCTCGCCCCAGGAACACCAGCTCCTGCTAAGGCCACGAAACAGCTCACCATCAGCTGGAAGCGGATAAGTGGCAGGAGAGGCAAGACCTGCTCTGTTGTTGGCCACCCTGGCCACCCCCTGTGCCAGCGCCCAGCAATGGGGACACAGGGCTCTGGCAAAGCTCCATGAGCATAACAGCTCTGCAGGGCAAACACACCTGGGACCTGGGGAGATACTGTCCAGAAGTAGAGCAGCTCCTGCTGGTGCAAAGTGATCTGAATTCCCCCCAGCCTCAGCCATCCAAACACGGGGGAAGGAGGATTGACTTTGATTCCACCATAAACATTGATATGGAAACTGGCAGGTGAGGGAGCTGGAGAGAGTTCTTTGTTTGAACATATTGGATCCATTTCAGCCCTGTATAATTCCACTAGTGTCAAAGGCATTACATCAGGGATAAAACCAACCCATTATTTTTAACCTGGCCATTTCCTTTTATGCCCTTCATTCGGGAAATCCCTATGCAAGTGCATGATTTTAGTCATGTGAATATTCTCACTGGAGGCAGTGTGACTGCTCATGTACTTGGAGTTAAATGCATGCATATAAACATGCGAGACTGTGGCCTAAAACAGTACTGGAGGGAAAGAAGAAAGAAAAGTAGTGGGGGAATACCTGAACAAAAGTGTCCTGTGAGGGTCTGTGAAAGTTGTCTGCCCACTGGGGTGACAGTAATATTTCCGGCTGTTTCCAGTTTTAAGCTTGACAATTTCTCTGAGACCAGCAGCATCTTTAGGAAAGCATTTTAAGGTATGACTGCTGTGAAGGGGGGGGCAGTGGTGTGGAGAACAAGATACCCAAAATACTCCTAAAGTATTTCAAAAAAATTGTAACAAAGCAGCTAGTTATGCAAATGTCCTTTGGGGACTGCAATCTATGCCTGTGACTTTCACAACCTTGCCCTGATTCCCTCTCCTGCACTTGCAGGGAGCACCCGAGGGGTCTTCACAGGAAGCCTCAACATACATGTTTTTCTGCATTGCCTCTGTTTTCACATTTCTGCTGTTCCTCAAAAATTATGACTTCCAAACAGCAAGAATTATGATCTCTAACCAGTGTCATATGTCAGCAATGCTCTACAGAAATCTTCCGAACAGCGACTCTCATATATTTATATCTTGCAGCAATCTAGAAGACAGACCAGGAAAACAACAACCAAAGAAATTTGGTTGATGAATCCCCATTCAGTTTCTGTGTTGCACCCAGGGCTTTTTAAAAATTCTTGTTTGCAAAAGCACCGCTTTCACCACTTTAGGAAGACCTTTTTCAAAAGGCCACACGCATATTGTCACGTCTGGCTGCAAAATTAAATGTAACAACAAATCTTGACCTATCAGGTTTAAGCCTTCAGCATGGGATCCGAACAAGGGTGACTTTCACAGATACCGTACCGCAAGGTAAGTGATTCAATGAAGTTCCTGAAATCAGCGGAGTTACTCCTGTTTGCAGCAGAGTAAATGAGATCAGGTTTGCCATAATAAACAAATCCATAAAGAAGGTGCTCGCATAGATTGCAAAACAGGCTAAAGAACGAGAGTCAGAGGACTTGCTGAATTAATTTGCCATTACTATGGGGTAAGAGCTACTAGAAATAGTTACGTCTATGACTCCTAGAATAGTCTTTAATTTCTCATGCTCAGCTAAATGAGGGAAAACACCATCTTTATTTTATGAAGTGCCATGCCCACCGAACTTCCCCTTACTTGCATGTGAACTGTTTAAATTTGCTAACAAAAGAGCCAGCTCAGTTTCGTCCCAACTTTCTGTTTCAGGTTTATGTATTGGCCATTCAAATGAGACAGGCAAATTCATGAAATTCATTTCACAGGGCATTGAGCAAATGGAATGTGGAATAATGTTGTTTAGTTTCTGACATACGATCAAATGCACATTTACTACAAGGAAAGAGAAGGAGACATGCAACAGCCTTGAAATGGATAAAAACCTTGCCACAATAACCATAGTTAATACACAAATAAAGTTATATCATTAGTATTGGCTTCCCTCTTGTGGTAATGAGGAAGCTGTAGCCCTAATATGTAACCAGAATCTGCTGAGGCATCTGTCTAACGCAAAATGCTACAATACATACATTGGGCAAGATCCTTGCATCCATGCACAAGACACCTAATTTCAGTTCAAGGCAGATATGAAGGTCTACATGTGGTAAGTAGATGGCAGGCTGGGGTCTCAGCTCTGCAGAAATACCTCTGACTTTAGTATTTCAGAGATCTACCGTGCTATGACTCAGGCCAGTATCTGACCCAAGTTTAAACTGAAGGAAGAGAGGTTTTCCACTCAAAGGTGCACTTGCAGTCCTGGCTGAGAGGGTGGTTCATGTTCTAGACCTGTTCAGTCAATGATCTCTGCTGCTTCTGCCAGTTTAGTGGGCATTTCAGTAACAGACCTCCAGAATATAGAACACCACCTCTAATCTACCCGCCTATGTTGCCATTCTGACTGACTCCAGAGGTGAGTCTAGGTTAACATCTCATTTCCCATGGCAGTGATGGAGCTAGCACAATGGTCCTCCACTTCTTTATTTTCTCCGTAGCCACTTGCATATTACCATAATTTCACTGACATTTGTGAAATTACAATTATTTTTTTTAATGGCAGCGTGTGTGAGAAGGTATCATTGCTATTAATGAAGTGTGTTTCATCAACAGAATTTAAAGCTGTTTATAGAGGATGTTGGTCTCATTCTTGCTTTTTTACAGATGGGGGAACTGAGGTGCAGAATAATTAGAAGCCAATCAGCAGGCCCAATGCAGAGCTGAAAATAGATCCCAAATCTCCCCAGTCTCAGTGCAATGTTCGAACTGCTCCTCTGCCAATGTATGAAATGGTAAAACTCAGCTACCTACACCAAAACTTGTCTATTATTCACATATTTTCCCAAACCAGTTCTTTTTACCATTAATATTTCATGGACAACCTCTAAACCAGTCCAATATCCAAGTGAGCCCACATCACCTTTTCTGGCATAAAGCCTTGCAGATTAGTGCTTATTTCACCAACATATACAAATCATATCATAGCTCACCCTTAAATTATTTTTTCAGGCTTTCTAGGGTATCTTAAAGGAGTGTAGATTTTTTTAAGTCTACACTTAAAAAGTGGAGGTATTTTACCAAGGAAGCTACAAGCCCCTAGACAGCTAGGTGCTTTTCTTCCCCTTTTACAACAGATTACTATGGTAGCATAGAAAATAAACTAGAACACCATGAGCACCCCAGAAGTATCACATGCATAATAAAATCGTAACGATTAATCATTTTATCATAAAACAATGCTAGATTGAAACCTCCCTTGGAGGGCAGGAAAATGTAGGCATAGGTGCTTGGTTTTGAAAATACCCCTAAGACAAGCTTTCAGTAGAGTGCTCTAAGGTCAGTGCGTTCAGTCACCTAACTCGATTAACATTGCTCCTGCTCCTATTCTGAATTCCCTGAACACATGTTTGTGGTTTTACAATCATTCTTTCCAGTTTGGAGAAAAAAAGAAATGCTTTCTGTCCCCTGCCACTGAGCGAAAAACCCTTTTGTTAATGGGAAAATGAGTCAGGTCTTCCCTAGGCAGCAAGATTTTAGTGGGTGGGTCACTCTGCCTGTAAAGGCTTAGTCTCCAGGGAGTCAGCGTGACAGAGCACTTGAACTTACCTGCCCTAGCAGAACTGCTTATAGAGCAGAGGTATGGAAAACAACCGGGTGAATTAGATTCAGCGAGAGTGTACCAACTGTTTCTGCGGAAGATAAAGGGCAGCCCCTGGGAGAGAGAAAAAAAAACAAAACAAAATAAACAAAAACCTTTCTGCAGCAGCTGCAGGAACAAAAGCACAGTAGCAACGGGGAGGTGAGCTGGGTCATAGCTTTTCTGTGCCACATTCTCTGAGCTTAACTTGAGCACCAAGAGCGGAAAACTCCTCCACTTTTTGTAAATAACAAACTTTTCACAGAGGTCAGGAACTTGTTTGCAACTACACCCTGGCTCCTCTGGGACTCTCCCATGTTGAGTTTGGGAATCCCAGGCTCAGCCAAAGGGAAACAGCCAGGTGCAATTACTGACTAGCAGGTGCAGAACAGCATTCAAAACAGACAAAAAGCTCATGTTTCAGGTGAGTTGTAAAGTGAGGGAGAAAAGTATTCAGTGTTTTCAGCATTGCTTAAAAATTTTGGCCACTCATATAATTACTTAAGTTTTTTATGAGTGGTGGGGTTTTGTTGGTTTTGGTTTTGTTTTTTTTTTTCTTTTACAGGAGCTGGCCATAGTCTAGTGGAGGGTAAGTTTGGCATGTTTTGAGGTACCAACCTGATATGCTCTCATCCCTGTGAGGACCCCAGATGCATTGTTACAAACCTCATCTACCTCTACACGCTGCAAGTTCTTTGTGGAATGGTCTAAGAACTTGCTACAGGTTTTATGACACCTCACACAGATGGGCCCTCATTGAAACACATCTCCACCACTACCATGGTTGAAGAATCATCACATTCTTTCTAGAGACATAAAAGTGCTGACTACAGGGAACTCTCTGGCTGTTATGCCTGTGTGAAGCCCATGTGTCTTCAGTATAAGCCCAAGGGTGTGTGTAAATATATCTAAACTCAGACCGATTATTTTCAAGATTTCTCAAATAAAAGGGAAATAAAATATATTTTGCATTATTTCAGTCCTGGTCTGTCCAACAGGAGAGAAATGGGATGTTTATAATATCACCATATTTACTAAGAATGCCTACCTTAAGGTTACAATCCTGCAAGCACTAAAGTGGCAGACCCACAAGTGAATTTCTTCCATGTGTTTCTCATAGAAGAGCTTGTAAATGTTCAAGTGCTCACTAAGTGACCAAATCGAAACCAGGGACAGAGGTAAATGTCAAATGATGAGAGACTGGCAATATGGAGAGTTTAATTGCTTTGTAGGAGAAAAAAAATTCCTAAAAACTCACATGTAACGATGATGGAGGAATCCATTATTATAGCAGATATCCAAACACAAGAACAGACTTTGTCAGGATTTAAATATTCCTTCCAGTATAAGGTATAAAGGTACAAACTGTTTACCACCGGTGGGTTTTTACTTGTCTGAAAATTAAGGTGGAGGTGCTCTGATTCTAATTCTTGACAGCACTATCAGGATTTGACACAATCTCTAGAGATTTACTGGCCTCAATAAGCCAGATTTTCTGTGTATTAAAATGCTACAAGATCATAGAATGTTTCAGAATTGCAGTAATAAAATTTGGGATATGGGACCCCACTTCAAATAGATTAATTCTCTGCACCATTCCAAAACTTCAGTGCATGCATGTTATCACCAAAAAAAAAAAAGATAAATATTATGTCTGCTAAAGAAAAACAAAGATTTTTTTCTACATTTTAGATATGCTTTGCTTAGTACTGCAGTTATTAAAACCATCAAGAAGCACGGCGTTCTGTCAGGCTTAAACCTGTCACAGACTATACTTGTGCCTTTGAATACCACCACAGCAAATACAGCCAGGTATAGAAGAGGGGAACTAAACTCCGACATCCAGAATAAAGCCTGTTGGTGATACCGTCTTATTTCTGGTGGGACGGTAGACCAGCTCTCTTATTGAGACCGTATTTCCTGAAGAGCGTTATGCTAATTCTCTGGTTTTGACGTAGCTGAAGCGATCGCTTCGCTTTCAATCTGTAGCAACAGCAACATCTAGTGTTTAAAGCCTGCCCTGCAGACTTCCCGCAGCACGCTTTTCATTAACGCCGTGCTTTGTATTTCAATAGCACCGCCCATCTGAGCTACGCATACGCACGCCACAGAAAATAATTGCTCAAACTTGGTAACAGCTCTGCGAAGCAGGCAAGCGTTTTACCTTCTCTTAGGGAAAAGATGGAAGAATTAGGGAGAGAACGAGTGTAACCGTTCAAGATAGTTCAGTCCTGGGCAGGACCCAAGTGAGTTGCTCAAGGTCACGCAGAGACTGACAAAGTCAGAGCTGCCTTCCCTGCGCTTTACCTGGAAGATTGTGTCTTTGCCCCAGGAGACGTTTGGATCTAGCTTATCCGAGGGGAGGAAATAGCTCATTGCATTTCAGAGGTAGTTTCATTGCGTTAAGCGGGCAGCCGAAGTGTCTGTGAGGAAAGCACAGCTGACAGTTTCCCTGTTGAAGAACTCCTGCTGTGACTCTTGCTCTCCTGGCGCACCTCAGCGGGGCGGGATGTGCGTGGGTGGGCGAGTTACGGGACCCTTACCGGAATGGGAGAAAGGCTGGTGGGCCAACGCATCCTGTTCCCGCAACTGCGAGGCCCTCAAGCAGCCCCTCCACCTGCAAAGCCACAAACACACGCGTGGGTGGCCAGCCGAGGGGCTGCGTGTGACTCTGCGTGCGCAGGACAGCCAGAGGCCGGGGTGAGACACCCAAAGGAGAGCCATTGCCCCGGTCCTCTCCAGAGACCCGCACCACCCGGCTCTGCCGGAGGAAAGCCACCTTCAGCACCAGGCTGCGAGGAGAGGCAACGAGGGGGCCGTTTCAGCGGCAGCTCCAGCCCGTGGGGGGCAGGCATGCCACAGGGGCCGTCTCCTTCA